ACACACACACCCACCCACCCACCCACCCTGTGCCTTTATGCCATCTTTGTTATCCTCCCTGGGCCCAATCCAATGCCAACTAAAAGTCAGTGGCACTGTTCCCAAGGATTTCAGTAGTGCTCTTGATTGGGCCTTAAGCTTTTAAATGCAGTGTAATGACAACAGAGCAGAGCAGAGAACTTCAATCCTCCAACCATGTCTAAACAATCCAGAGCAGTGCCAGCCTCTTTGAACTCCAGAAGGCTTAAGAAGTACCAAATCAATAGCCTTGAAGAATCAAGTACAGAACATGCACACTGCCCTCACATGTCCCCAGGAATATCCCGGCAGGACCAACTCCGATGACAAAAAGGTAGTGATGCAGTCCCTGTGCCCATTCAGTCCTTGACTAAATTGTAGGCAATCAATGCTAAGTCAGTGCTACCTGCAAGCCTGGACTGGTTGTTGAGGTAGCTACTTCGTCAGTCCAGTTCCTGGACATGGGACTTAATCCAATCTACTTTGGCCAATATATAAACTAGATGCAATTAAAGAACCACCTTCTATGAAGCTGCTGTGAACCAGCTGCCATCTCCTCAAGAGAGGATCTGGAACCAACTTCCAGAAGTGGTGCTGGCTCCTACCCTGGGGGTCTTTAAGAGGAGGCTAGATAGACATCTTGCCGGGTCGTTTGACCCCAGTGCTCTTTCCTGCCATGGCAGGGGGTCGGACTTGATGATCTGCTCGGGTCCCCTCTGACCCTACCTACTATGAAACCTCTTCCTCTCTCATCTCTTCCATCCATCTTGTACCATGTTATTTTAAGTAAGACCAGCAGTGCTGTGGTAGATGTGTGGGGGATGGATTAATGTCTGAATGTGAAGTACCATTATCCTAACTTAACTTAGCACATAGTGGTTAAAAGCAGGAGATCTAAAAAGACACCTGGATGTGGTCTTTAATTAATACAACCTCTAAAAGTTTTTTCTCCCCTCCATATTTGAACCAATAAATGGGTTTCTCTATGTCCCACCCTGTTGACTAACTGAAGCATTGGGCATAGGCATCTCACCATGTCATTAAATGTCTTCTCCTGTTGCATAATCCACCCCCCACAGCATGGGTCCTTTAACCCTGTATGTCCTACTCCCTGCAGAAGCACTAAGGACCAGGTTGAAGTGCCTCCCCACTCCCAGGTTTGTTCTGCCCAGACTGGACTCTAAGAGATGCAAAGGTGAATGGGCTGCACAAAGCAAACTCTTCCTACCTTCTGTGCCAAGGTGGGCTTTGGCTTAGCTTGGTTACTCAGCTAAAGCTGAAGCAGGCAGACCTTGCTGCATCCCCTTGGGTCATGCTGTAGAGCAGTGGTCTCCCACCTCTTTATGGTGAAGATCACTTTTTGTAAGTAAGTAAAGGGCAACCCAGGCTCTGACCCCATTAACCTAACCGGGCCTGGGCGGCAGGGGGCTTGGCTCAGCCCAGCCATGTGCGTCCTGCCACTCCTGATCACGGAGCCTCTGACAGACTGAGATCAACTGTCAGAGGCTCCACAATTGACCAGTCAATCAAGATCAACTGGTTGGTGACCACTGCTCTAGAGGGATGGACTTGGATCTGGGGGCGGGGGGCAACCTACAGGGAAGGCAGCTTCAGTTTTTAACTAGACCATTTTGACGCCAATGGGGCTGTGGATAAGCTTGAGAGGGTGCAGATTAGGGGCCTGGAGGATAGGCCCTGCAAGGAGAGACTCTGGGAACTAGGCTTGTTCATTCTGAATAAGAGGAGGCTGGGAGGTGGCTTGATAGCTGCCTACACATGTCAGGGGGGTGCACCAAGATCTGGGGGAGCAGCTCTTCAGGAAGGCACCATTTGGGAGGACGAGGTCCAGTGGACACAAACTAACAGAAGGAAGGTTTAGGCTGGACAGGGAAGAACTTCTCTGTAAGGGTAACTAGAACCTGGAACACACTGCTGGCAGAGGTGGTGTGGTTGTCGTCCTTGGAGGTGTTCAAGAGGAGGCTGGATAAGCACTTTGTTGAGCTCTGTAACCTCCTGCCTATAGCAGGGGATGAGACTCAATGATCTTGCAGGTCCCTTCCGGTCCACTGATTCTGTGATTGTCTGCCGTTTCCAGACTGCACCAGGGAACATTGTGGTGAGGCACAGTACACTTAGTCTGGGTACCCCAAATCCTGAAAATGCCAGGATGGAGCAGCCCTGGCAGCTCAGCAGAACTGCCTGTCTTGGGCGTGGTGACTGACATGTCTGCCACCATGTGAAAGCAGCAGTTTCCTGTCTGGCCCAGGATTTAGCATGGATTTAGCACTGTCTGGAGGTGGTTGAGACATGCCCTTACTGGATTTGAGAAGGTGGTGGTGTTGCCTTTTAAAGCAGTGGGTGGGAGAGCAGGAAGGCAACACTTCCCATACTCCTGAGCCTCCCCGATTGGCTCAGCTCCACCCTAACTTTTGTGGGGAGAGGTGATATTTTTGTTTTCAATTGGCTTGTAACCACTGGTTTTAAGGCTCCCTGCTAGAGGAGCAGTGTGCTAATGGGGATGTGGAGCCTTTCTGTGCTAGGTGATGCATAGAAGCATCCAGCCTAGGTTGGTGTCTGGGTTCTCCTGCCCATCAGTAATTTGCGGTTGTGTTTCCATTCTTAATGGACACTTCAGTGGTGGCCCCCCTGTTGTCTGAGTGTAGTCCCGGGAAAGAAATGTGTGAGAGCCTCAGTTACTAAGACGCCTGGCTTGAGATTAAGACCAGGTCTATAAAGATGCCAAATGTCCACCATTCCCAGTAAAGTGATCTGGAGTTGCAGGTACTTAACGCCTATTTTAAAATCAAGATGCATGTCAGCATTCGGGGATCCAAATAATCATACCCCCCAAAGTAGCAGTAGGGAAAGTGGCCTTAAATTCTTTACCTTAGTTGTTTCCTTAGGATGAAAGATGCAATTTCTATTCCCATAGAGGAGTTGTTGAGGGTTAGTTTAACAATTGGGAAACGATAAGTATTTTCATTAATGGCAGTGGCTTGCTCCAGGCTTGTTACTATGGAGTGCACCAACTAAAAATTTCCATTGAAAAAAAATTTCTGGGTAGATCTAGCCTTGCCAAGTAAGCAGGGGCAGCTAAGCTGCCTTCAGTGAAGAGGCACCTTCTCATGCTCTGTGCTTGGCTCATAAAGATGGTGCTATGGAAAAAGTGAAAGGAGTATTTTCTCCAGTTTTCCAATGTAAATGAGGTCAATGGACCAGTAGCTTTTGAGAAACAAGAATGACCCAAAAAGGGGAGAATTTGAGAAGTGTGATTTATAGCATGACACATTGAAGTTAATATCAAGACTTGGCATTTCTGAACCCCCTTAACAAATGTCTTAGCAGACAGTAAGAGTCTTGCAAGTAGAGCTGGTTTAGACCTTTCTGTCCATGGTTTTTGTGACAGAAATGCAGCCTGCTGAAATTTTGTCGTGGGAAAACTTTGTTCTTTTTTTCCGCCACAACTTTCTCCCTTTCCTCATGTTCCCAGGCAGGAAAATGGAAACACAAGATTTCTTGTTGGTTAAGATTTTCATTTTCTTGACCAAAACTTATCTCATGATGAGTGTCTCTTGAACCATGCAGAATAGTCTGCCCTGGGAGCCCAAACCTCTGGCAGGAAGCACCCCAGCTAGAAGTCCTACAAAACTTCTCAGACAGGTGTAGGTTTTGAAGCAATGCAAAGACTTTTATGCCCGAGGGCAGGGGGAGAGAAATTGTTTTGGAACTTTTTTCATTTTGCTAAAAGCTTTGTTAACCCAAGAGAGAGTCTGGGATATCAATGTCAAGCTTCACTTGGACCTTCCTGTAAATGTATGTGGGGTGGAAATTGAGCCTGAGCGACCTTACAGCAGGACCTGTGGTGGTGTTCACTAAATGGAGTGTAACCATATCTGCGTCCAGTCTGTATGGATTGGCACTGTGGGTTGACTAAATCTATAGTGAAGAGGGTGAGAACATGCCACACACTAGAACAGCCATAACTTTATGCAAATACAGGAAGGAAATCTTCTTGCTGATCTAAGGCAAATTGGCCAATGCCCTGAAAAAATGAGATTTTTACATCTGGGTTAAGCTGCATAATCCCAGATGTTGCTAATGGTTGTAAAATTAACCAGCCAGGCTCTGCTGTTGTCTTGCAGTGACTTCTTCCAGTACAAGTGACTGCACACCCCAGGAGATTTTTCCTTTCTCCGGTTCTCAGTCTACAAGCCTTGAGTTCTATGGACTGTTTTGTTTTGTTTTTTTTTTCTATATCTTTGCTGCCTTTCTTGTTTTAGGTGAAGCTGGTGCAGATATCATTCGTGTCTCAAAAGAAGCTCGGAAGAGGTTCCTGGGCCCACTACATCCCTCCTTCAATTTGGTGAAAACCATCCGGAGCTGTATGTACAAGACCTTGCCAGAGAACGCGCATGTGACATCCACAGGACGCTTGGGCATCTCGCTGACAAGAGTGTCTGATGGCGCGAATGTTATACTGTCAGAGTTTCATAGTAAAGAAGAGCTTATCCAGGTGAAAAAAATTTAGCTGGCAAAGGGGGAGGGAGGCGGAACAGCTGCAACTTTTCTAGCATGGCCCAGAAATTATTAATGGTCTTGGTTTGGCCTCATCTTCACTCCCATACTGTAGAAGATAACCCTAACCCTGGTGCCAAATAGGCTACATATCTTACTGAGTGGGAGGCTACGGGTGGCTGAGATGCTATGAACAGACTTCTTTTTTTTTTTTTTTTTCTTAAGGTCTTGGTTTAGTTCTTGCCAAAGGACTTTCCATTTCTAATATTGAATGCTCTCCCCCTCTTTTTCACAGGCCTGTGTTTGCAGTACTTTTATTCCTGTGTATTGTGGTCTGATCCCTCCAAGCCTACGTGGAGTGGTAAGTTGACCTCCTAACTTTTTTTTTCCTTGGGTAGCACTGTGCGCCAAAGTGAGGAACCTAAACAAAGACACTTGTGCTGAATCATACCCACAGTCCAGTGTTTTTATCTGGAAGTGTCCAGTGAGATGGCTAAGGAAGCAGTGTAAGAAACACCGAAATGAATGAATAATTGATGGAATCACTTGTCTGGAAGGCAAACTGCTTCTTAACCCCATCAGTGATTTGGCTGGTGTCTTCTGAAGCATGAAAGCTTTGGTTGTTTGTATACATACTATATTTAACCTACCAATAGCTGACTGAAAAACCTTCTACAGAATCTTTTTTTTTTTTTCCAACAGAAAACTAAGTTGCCAGCAAAACAAACTTTGTTCTTTCCTTGCAAGCATTCAAGTTTCTGTTGGAGATCTAAAAAAACCAAATTTTCCTCTGAAAAAAATTTTATTTGCTAAAAATTAAATGTTGTTTACATACAGATATCTTGGTTTGGTGGCTTTCTGTTTTTCATTCAAAGTTGACTCTCTTTTTCCTCAGGGGAGAGAGGGGGGGGGGGGGGGAAAAAAAAAAAAAAAAAAAAAAAAAAACCTTGAAAGATTTCATAAGCTCTCCAAGGACTTCTTGCTTAGCACAGCCACCTGATGCCTTAAATAAGGCCTCTAAAAACCCTGCAACATGCCACAGGTTAAAAAAATAAATAAATGAAGCACTCACTACCAGTTCCCTGCTGCAAAAAGGCAGAAAAGTTTAAAATGTTATAGACAAGAAATTCACTCAGTGTGAATAAATGCAAAGCAATTCACATTTTGGGGAACCATTTGACTTCTGCAGATTAAAATGGGTTTCAAATCAATGGCAACTAATCAAGGGAGAAACCTGGTCACAGGGACAAATGTTCCATGCAGACCTCTGCTTGGAATACAGCAGCAGCCAGGTTGGGTTTTTTTGGTGTGTTGTTTTTATTTTGTTGCCATGGGCTCTTCCCTCCCCCCCCTTATTATTAAAGATTCTTTGGAAAAGTGACTGCCTATGAACTTAGGGGACTGGACTTGATGTTTGGGATGCTCTTCTGCCATTGTACTAGCCATTCACTGCTTGGTTAGATCTTTCTCTGAAGTCCTTCAGTTCCTGTCTCCCCCCCTCTAGATTTAACTCACCCAATGAACTTCACCATCTGCAATTCCCCACTCCCCAACCTTTCCCCTCTCCCACTTTTCCAAGCCATTTAAAAAATGGTCTTGAACACCAGCTCTAATGGTAGTGACTTCTGGAACACTCCTTGGTCACCTCTTTCCATCTTTGAACAATGACAGGTTATCTCTACTCCACATTTTCAGTCTTTCAGCCAGCAGCAAATCCACACCAGTACTTTGCATTTTTCTCATGGCTACATGTGTTCCCTTAATATGTCCTTGTCACGAGATTACTTTGTCAAGAGATTTTTATTAAAAACTATGCAAGCTGTCTACTGTTTTTTGTTTTACCCATTATGGGGGTCTGCTCAAAGAATCCTATTAGATTGCAAAGCTGAGGTGGGTTTGCTCTGAAATGTAGCTGGGCTACCCAGTCTTTTAGATGGTCATGTTCCTTGGGTGCTTTTATAATTCCCCCTTATCTCTTTGATGTATGTTACTTCTTGCTACTGAAGGAAGGTATTTGCTAGGTATCCTCTCTTTGTAGTAAATGGTTGCTAAAGGAGAAAAGTAATGGCTCAATTGAAATGCCCTGAAATCTCATTGGAGGTCTTGGGTTTGTACCGTCAGGAGCTGGCAGCTTGTTCTGTTATCACTGTTAAGTGATTGGGCTTAATTCTGTCCAACACAAACATTTCTGTTTTGGTGCTTCATCTAGCTAAGAAGAGTAGGGATTTGCCTAATCCTCTGGGCTAGAGACCTCCTAGGAAAATATGGGGTACTGATAATGTTTATTCCTTTTACTCCATGGTGATTCTGTAGGAGAATCCGGTGGCTTACCTCTGATTGACAGGGACATTTTTAATGCTTGTTCTTGCTTGTCTGTTCCTCCATATATTTCTCCTTACACTTCACCTGCTGTAGTTTATTGACTCTACTGGAGCTAGGGGCCTGTTTGACATGGCTGTGATCGTTCCTGACATGGATGGCTCTGTAATTTGAAAATTCAGTGCTTACGAGGTCCAGCCTAGTTAGCAATGGAAGGAGTTGTTAAACTTTAATTGACAGTAATTAAATCAGATGAATTACCTTAAGATGTGACTTGAGCTGCCTTGCTGATGTCCCTGGGGAAGCCCTTGCAGAACTATCCCATTAACTTATGCATATGCACACTTTTTCTCGTCTCCTGCAACATGCACTTTTCCACCCCAAAATCAGACACCCCCCCCCCCCTTCCCGACCAGGCATGCACTTTTCCACCCCAAAATCAGACACCCCCCCCCCCTTCAAGTACATGTATTAAGTGAAGAAGCTGTGTTTTTCTGACTGAGACAGGAGTAGCCTGCTTCATGGTGCTGAATAGACAATGGCTTATTGTTTTTTCTCTCCAGAAATCTTAATGATCTCCCCTTTTTTTTTTTAAATGGTCTTAATGTTCTGCTAATCAAGCTCAATTTTTTTCTTCGAGCAGTTTTGCTGTCTGCTAGGTGGCTATTGCTGGTTTTTTATCTTCCAATTTTAGTCCTGGAGACTCTTTAGTGCTCTCTCAAATCGCAGATCCACCCATAGAGACTAGTGTTTAACAGCAGCTAGGGTCTGCCTTTAGTTAAGCAGGAAAGGGAGGGTGAGTCAGGTGAAGATTAGGCTCTGTCCCTGGCTTATGCAGCTGTAACTCTGGCTTTCAAAAACAAGGTGCATATTATATTTGTGGGGCATGTCATGTGAAGAAAATATGGTCGGTCTGTCTGTCTCTAGTGCTGTTTAAAAGAAAGTCTGAAGAAGACAACATCGCTTTTTAATGATGGTGCGGGGCTCTCCCTTCTTTGCTTGGAGGAGAATATTGTCTGGGCAGATGAGACTTCCCTGAGGAGAAAGCATGGTCAAGCGTGAGAGGTTGGAAGAAAGCCTATTGTTCTGTAAATACTTTACTTTACAGAGGATAGGAGGTGAATCAACATGGTCTTGCACAAGTGAGCCTAGATGGTCTGCTGCAGTAGAGTGCTAGTGGTGAGTAGCTGGGATGGGCTGAGGAAGGATCTGTACTGTAAAGTGCTGGAGCAGTTTGTGGTTTTTCTAGAGCTCCTCTTCCCACCTTCCAGATATGAGGTGAGTGGCAATGACTTATGGCACTCTT